AACACATTAAATACTTTGAAAATAGTCTTTGTAAACCAATCTGTACTTATTAGATTTGTTTAAACGACAGCATTAGAATTCCATGCCGAGATTTAATTTGGTTTTAAAATAACTCCCTACATGCAGAACATTTCCAAGGGCAGAGAGGCTGGTCCCAATTATTTTCATGCCATCAGTGCTAAGTGTGTTTAATGACTCACTTACCTACAAGCTGTGGGTTCTCTGAAGACGTCCCGTTCAGTGGGATGCACACATTTTACCTCAGGCTATTTTATATTTTAAAAAAGAGGAAAATGCAGAAACATAGTCAAACGAAAAGTAAAAGGTCTTACCTTGTTCATGTCAAAGGTATTATAGACTTGATCAATATGTTGATTGGCCTTCTGATCCAGACCCTGCAGACCCAAGAGTGTCTTAAATTCATGCAGTGTTTGCAGGCCGGATGGGTATTCCATCATAAATTTTCTGTACCACATATAGGTGTCTTTAGCAAGAACTGCTGTCTGACCACCAGCAATAGATTCGCTATTCCCCATCGTGACTCACAGCCTACAGCTTTTCTCAGGCTGTTTTCATGTAATGTCTCTCCGGATTTAGTCCCTCACTCTTCACTAAAACTTGAGGCTAACACATGCCGTTAGAAAGCTACTCTAAACCTCTTACAGCTATAGGCTAAATAAGAATAGAAAGCCAGTGAGATTAACCCTTCTGTACAGTTTTAAGACTAGGTCATTTATAGCTAACCAAAGGACTTGTGCTCACAGTTTTCTGTGAAGGGTAGAGGCAATATTTTAGAGAGGCTAATCCTTGCCATACTTTTAGCCATTAATTGTGTCTACATTCTGCAGTGATACAGCAGGGTCTAATGGAAGGAACTCTGAGTTGCAATCAGGAAGCCTGGGTTCTAGCTTTTGTTCACCACTTATTAACTACATTAAAACATTACTTAGGTTCTCCAGTCTCAGTTTCCCCATCTGTAAAACAATAACAAGAGTATCTGCCTTTTCACACCTGAATACTGTGAAGATAAATTAGATGAAGAACATGTTTTTTAAACCACGGAAAAATGATACATTCTGAGTATTGTTGAATTAAAAGGAAGTCTATGTATAAGAGAGGGAAATGGGTAGAGACAAACATATTAGTAGTAGTAAAAAACACTGTAGATGTAGCAGCCAGAAAAGTGTAGTCTGCAGAGAAAGGAACATATTGGGCTGTGCCTTCAGGCATTGTTCTTGCCTTTTTTTTTTCTTTTTTCGCTGTTCTTGTCTTTTCTCTCTCTCAAGTCTGCATCTACCAATGCCCTCTGCTTGCTAGTTTTATCCCACTCCAGTTCCCGAGCCAATCTTGTCCAAGCCAAGCCCAAGTACAATGGACTTGAGAACTGAGTGAATGGGCCTAAGAACTATGCCCACGGTCCAGGACTGGAAATGAATTGCCCCATGTGGTCTACAAGCCATCTTGTGAGTAACACATGGGGAACCATACATAGGAGTAACAGAATCACATTATTTCACCTAGGGTCATCTGGTCCCAAGTATGGTTCTCCCCTCCTAACCTTTCTCCATTTTTCCCCCAATTCTCGTATTGACTCAGTTCATAAATCTGGTCTCTGCCTTAGTCCCTATTCCCTAGTCCTATCTGATCACCTGTTTAAAACCCCAGGTTCTCCTAAAACTAGAGCCACTGCGGCCTCAACGAACTGCCCTGACAGAAAGTGGGGGTGGGTAGGGTGTATACGATTAATTTTGTTTCAAACATACCAATGTAGACTTTCAACAGAAAATTTCTATTTCATAATTAGAGTTAAATAAAAGATGTTCAATAAGGTAATAGAAATTTGGAACTCATTCATTTGGAAGTAGGACTTGAAACCATTAGAGTAGATGAGATTTCTTATGCAGAGTAAAAAGAAAGAAGACGAGATGATGAGGACTAGGCCTGTGGATTATTCCATCAGGACATATGAGGAATACCCTGTTAGAATCTTCGAAAACCATTCTCTGGGGAAGTCCCTCTTCAGATTTTTTTCTAAATGTCAGAAGGATGCTCAGAGGCATTGACTTCTTATCACCATTGACATTTATTAATCACCAATTTTTAGATTAAAGGAAGAGTGGATACTGATGATGGCAGAGGAAGGTAATGAAAGTTTTCAAGAGGCCAAGAAAATCCCTTGTGGAAGGAAAACTTTGGATAGATCAAGAATATGAGAACCTGAGATCCAGAAATTGTTTTTCTTCATATAAATTATGCTTTTTAAAAAATCTCCATAATGATTACTTCCTGATACAGAAAAAACTTTAAAACTATTACAAATAGTATGAGAATTTTTATATTGGATATAGTATTGATATCCAAAAATCAGGAGTCTTGCTATATAAAACATTAACCAGTTAGAAGACAATAAAAGAAAGTCTTCATTTATAATAGGCCAAAGAATAAATCTAATTACAATAAATATAAATAGAATGTGCCAGATGTATTTGAAGAAAAATTTTAAATGCTAATATAAGACACCAGTGAAGATTTGAACATATGGAAAGGAATATTTTGGTCTTGGGTAGAGAGACTTCATATAAAAAAAGACACAATTCTATCTTAATCTATAATATCACCATAAACCCAACAGAATACTAATAAAATGTGAGGGGTAGGGGCTAATTCTAAGTTTGAATGAGCATTAAACATGCAAGGATACACAGGAAAATTCTGAAATATAACGTTATTGACTAGCCCTACCAAAACAACATGGGTCCAACATGAGAAAAGATGGAACAATCAATGAAAACTGGAGTTTTTTTTAGAACTCGGCTCAAATACAAATAGGAATTTAACATGCAATAAAGATGGCACTGCAGATCAGTGGGGAAAAGATTGATTATTGAATTAATAATTTTGGGACAATACTGTGGCTACCTGGAAACACACACACACACACAAAGCAGGATTTTTAACTTACTCCCTACACTAAAATAAATTCTAGATGAATAAAAGATTTAACAGTATAACTACTAAAATCATTATAAGAAAACAAGGTAAAATTTCTTTATACCTTTAGCATCAGAAAGTCCTCCCTAAATATGACTACAATACCTAGAAACCATAGACTAAACCAAAAGAAAATTTTTTTTTGTGAGCAAGATTGGCCCTGGGTAACATCCATTGCCAATCCTCCTCTTTTTGCTGAGGAAGATTGGCCCTGGGCTGACATCCATGCCCATCTTCTTCTACTTTATATGGGACGCCGCCACAGCATGGCGTGAGAAGCAGTGCGTCGGTGCATGCCCGGATCCGAACCTGTGAACCCGGGGCTGCTGAAGTAGAGCGCGTGCACTTAACCACTATGCCACCAGGGCGGCCCGTCCCCCCCCCCCAATTTTTAATCCCATAACTCAAAATACCATAAAAAATTAAAAGTAAAAAATTATGAGAAAATATTTGTAATACATACAATACAAAAAAGATAATTTCCCTAATATGAAAATAGTTCCTATAAATCAGTAAGAAAATACTTAACACCAAATAGAAAAATGGACAAAGACTAAATTTAAAAATTCAAATGAATTTTAAACATGAAAAGATGTTCAACCTTACTCATAATATAGGAAATATATGTTAAAGCTACAAGGATATGCCACTTTTCACCTCTTTGATCAGCAAGATAAGGAAGTTTGATAATTCACTGAGTAGGTGAAGGTGTAAGGAAACAGTCGCTCATATACTGCCGTGGGAGTGTATATTAACAACATTTTTATGAAGTGCTATTAGGCAATCTCTACCAGTAATAAAATGTATATACTCTTTGACCCAGCAACTCATCTTCTGAGATTTATTTAACAGATATAATTATACATGTGTGAAATGAATATATTTACAAAGATATTCATGTGCATGTAAATCCAAAAGAATGGGAAAAAATCTAAATGTCCATTGATAAGAGAATAGTTAAACAAATTTTATTTATGTCCATAGAATGGAATAATAAGGAGCACTTAAAGATAATGAGAGCGCTCTACATGTACTGATCCTGACATGAAGTGATCTTGAAGGGATATTAAGTGGAAAAACACCAGCATCTTTTGGATGCTGTTACATCCATGTCTATATCTATATAAGGATTTCTGAGGTTTATATACATGGATTGCTTTGGATGGATCACAAGTACCTAGTAAAAGCATGCCTCTTGAGAAGAGTAATGAAGTGGCTAAAGATAAACATGGGGTGAAGACTGTTCCTCATATTCTATTTCACGTGGTCTGAATTTTGTACTATGCACATGTACATAAAATTAAAATTATACAATTCCACAAATATTAAATGTTTTATTGTTTTTGTCCAAAGTTGCAGACATTTCTAAACAAACAAATAAAATAATCAGTTATCAAGGAAACTGTAAAAATACAATTCCTTATATATATGTAAATGTAAAAACACGATTCTTACATATGTGTGATATGTGCTCACATTATAGTTAGAAGATTTGTTCTTTTACTATAACTCAATAACAAAATTATATAAACTGTATCTCAAAGTTGTTTGAGGATTTATATTTTCTGCTGTACTGACTATTGGCTGTAGTGGAGAAAGGGCATAATGTCTTGTCTGTCTTTTTCAACACAAGTTTTAAGAGGAGGTGATTCTGTTGTCCTTTGTATACTGATTTTGAAAACCACTGTTTTCCAGTTTTTACAGTCTTTTAAGTGGAAATAAAATTTAAGCCTAGATGACATTTCCGTCTTTCTTAATGGCTCACAGGGGAACTGGAGAACTCTAAAAATAGTTTCTGAAAGAACAGGAACAGTTAGAGGACTGGGAAATACGTAAATTGTAAATCAGCCTCCATTTCTAAAGTATACAATTTTCTTAGTGTTAAACGGGATGAACTTTACAAGAACTAGTATAAGGGGAAATATTTTTTTGAAAAGAATCTGCCTTTTACTTATTAGCATTTTTTAAAAGGGAATATCTTTTCTGACTCTTAATTTTGAGAAGTACTTTCATTTTTTCTCTAAAGGGAGACTATGTCTTGCATCTGTAGTCTCTTTATTTAAAGTATTCTGAAAAAGGAGATTATCTTCTTTAAGCAAAGCTTCTAAATAACTGTCAGTCTGCTCCAGGCCTCCTGCTGGACGCCCCTGGAAAAGAGAAGCGATAATCAGAGTAGAAGACGACGCTGCAGGGTTTCTTCCTGTAATGTGGGCGGTCCCGAGTCTTCCCTGTAATTCATGGAGCAAAAAAACCCACCTAGTATTGGAATAATGCGTTTAACCTTTCAAACTGTTTTCACATTTCATCTCATTTTATGCTCACAAGAGGTTAGGAATTTGGATCATTTTTTCCTTCTTTAGTGGAGAATAGTTCAACTGGTATTTTTCCTTCTACTTAATTACTTGTCATATTCCTAAAGCACCCCCTGCCTTCTCTGTTATAGGCTCTCATCTCCCATTCTAAAAATTCATGAATCTTTGGCCTTACAGGCAAAATTGATGAGTAGGCAAATTTTGGCTTCCCTGTTTCTCCTCTTTCCTCGGTAGCATCTTCTCCCACAGCCCTTGGATTGCTACTCTGATCTGTCTCCTTTGCTCTGTTTCCCTCAGTTCTCTATTTGGGTAACTTCACGCTCTCCTGCCCCGGGCTTTTTGATCCATGAACAGCTGGACAAATGCTCCCTCTTTACTGACCTAAATCTCACTCCCCTCAGGCCCAACCATGGGATCAACTCACTCTCCAACTGAGCCAATGGATAAGAGAATTTTTAGGAAGGACCTTTCAGAAATAATCCTAATTTTATTATTGTTGCCAATAAGTGTCCGGCACCACCATCCTAGTTTCTCCATCCCCTATCTGGTTCCACTGAATGTGCTTCTGCTTTGCTCCCTCTGCCCTAGATTTGCTCTATCCTCCAACAAGGCTGAACCGTACTGAGTCCCAACTTTGTGACCGGGGCCCAGGTCCTGCAGATGAATTTCCACGATATTGATATTCACCTAGATTTCTAAATGTTCACTGACGCTGAGGAATGCCCTGTGGGACCCTTTCTGACACTGACCACTCTCGGTCTGCTTGGTCTAGTCTAGTCCTTTGGCTGCTCTCTACCTGGCAGACTAGACTTCCTCCTAGGACCTCAGGTTGGATCTGCCCCCACTTCTCCACACGCCTGCCTCATCTGTCTGCTGTGGGGCCACCTCATGTCACGTCTCTGCTCACGGCCACTGCAGTTGCTCTGGCAATCAGAGACAGTGAAAATGGAAATTTCAAGTGGAGGATGAGAGTAAACATATTCGGGCAGGAGCCTCTTAAGTATCTCTCCAATAACGCTAGATAAGATCTTTCATACTCTGCAGGCTAAAGCCCTTCACCTCCTTACCAAACTCCGTGAATAAAACAAATTAAATTAGGATAATTACTCTGGCTACTGTGAGGGAACCCAGGGGTTTGGCATACAGAGAAGAGTAAATTATTATTCTTTCATTCTTTTTCCTAGCCAAACGTAGATCTGCTATTATAAGAACCTATAATTTTTATGAATTTTTCAGATAGAGAGTGGTATTCAATTTCTATGATAGAGAATTTCTTTGGTCTCTCTAGTTTTTCTTGTTAGTGAAACAACACTCATCATTGAAACTCTACGGTGTGCCAGGTTCGGAACCAGACCTTTCACACATGAAATCACTTGCAACCCTTTACAGCCACAAGAACCAAAAAGAGCTCCACCCAAATCCCACTCTCACAGCAAGAAAAAAAATCGAATAATTGGCTTAGGTAGTATTCTTGATAGAAGCACAAATATAATTATCATTATGTGAAAACAGTTAGCAATAATTGTCCTTTTTTATTTTAATAATGAGACATTTTAACTGTCCCTAGACCATCCAAGGGGGACGGATCTTCTCTTCTGGCTATATACTTAAATTGAGCAAAAATATTTTCTGCATATTATTTTGTATTTAATACAAGAGAAATCCCATAGAAACGAAAAGACGTATATTTTTTGAAGGAGCAATGGACTCTCGCCTTGAAATGTTCACAGCCAGGACTGAAACCGAGGCAGCCTGACTTCAAAGTCCATGCTCATCACGTACCATATTGACATCTGGTGAGTTTCCTTGTCTCTCCTCCACCCCCTTCATGGGCAAGGCAGTCCTCCAGCGCTCCAGTCAGGGCTCTCTGCAGGGGACTCAGCTCCTGCCCTTTCATCCTGCACGGCCCAGGAAAGCCCTGGGTCCTGTCCCAGACTCAGGGCTACGTCTGAGTACAAAATGCCACATGCTTCCTAGGCTCACTGTTGATTTCTCAATTTATCTCTAGCATCTACAGAAAGACTTTTCAACTTTGGCTATACACATTTTAATCGTGGACGTATTTTATCCCGCATTTCTATGTGTTATAGTAGAACATGGTCCTTTCCTCATTAGCTCAATCTATCCTAGAAACTCAATCCTTTATGCATTCAAATATACAAACAAACAAGACAGATAGGAATTCATACTCACACGATGTTTCCTGACCTCTCCTCTGAGATTAGAAGAGTCTATTTTTATTTAGGTCTTAGAATAAAATTAAAATATTTCGTTGTCTGAAAAAATTAGAAAAGGTTTCCTACTGGAAATACGCTTTTGAGGAGACAGATGATCAAACTATACCAACAGCACAAGCAAAGATTCTGATTTTTTTTAAGACAAAAAATACTAGACTTTTAAAAAATGTTCTAATATATACTTTCAAAGTTCATTTATTTATGATTTCAATATCCTTACAGGGAGAGTAAGGGCTAGGTTAAGTAACTTGTCCGAGGTCAATAAGTGGATGATGATGTTAGAAGAAACTAGCCAAGTGCTCCTTCCAGAAAGTAGATTCCTACTGCTCAAATAAAATTTCGTTACTTACCAGGTGAAGTTTCTGCAACAATACTGCCAGTTTCACACGAAGATTATTCAGTTTATCTTCAGCAATTTTTCTTTTTTCTTCACATTGTCCCAGAGATATTTCATTAACCACTCCTCTTCTATTTGCATCATAGATAATGGAGTGCATTTTTCTCTTTAGTTTTTTTTCATATTGGACCATGTAAACATTCTGGATCTGGGAATGTTTTTAAAAAGTTTTAGTATATTTTTAAAATATTACTTTCCCTCCTAATATCAGAAAGGAATTTCATACTCCAATTCAGCACATATGTACCAAGAGTCAACTCTGTATGTAGAGTTGACAACTATGCATGTACTATGGGTGGTCTAAATTTAAGACATGTTGATACCTTTAAAGAACTTAAAAACTGATGGAAAGGGAAGAGAGAGGAAGAAAAATGTTCAATAGTCCAGTAACTCGAACATAAGAACAAGAAGGACACACCAAAGTGGGCTTGGAGACCCTTGCTTTGGAATGAAGAAGGAACCCCGTAATGGCTGAATTTGTTCTCCCACCAGTGATACCAGATCATTCAAGGCACAAAGTGGCAGGTGCCTGCGACCCTCTCCACAGCACCCATAGCTCATAGGCAATGACAGAAAGGCCAGCCACTCGGGACTTTCTTGGCAGATGATGTCCTGTTATTTATAACTCAAGTCTGTAGCATCCACACAGCACAGCAGCTAAAGGAAGAGAAATTCCTATTCTGTCACTCTCTTCAGTTGCTTATCCTGATGTAGAGAGTATGGTCATATACTTATGCACATAAGCTTTGCTCATTCAAGAGTCTTGGTTGTCTTCCAAGAGCTCATGCTGTCCCTGAGGCACTCACAGAGTGAAAAGAGGGAATGGAGAAGCCAAAAGCTTCAATTTCAAAATGACATTCATTGCTTGTATCAACATTTCAAAAGGGCCAGGGGATGTTCTGAGAAAAGAGATACAGGGCAAATCATGTTTTGATAAAAATTTGACTGTTTCTATAATAAGGAGATTTCTGTGTTCTAACATCACTGGGTTGACAGGAAAACTGTAAGGCAGCCTCGTTTGTCTTCTGGGTCTACGCTTCCCCTCTTCCCCCTTCTCCACCACACTCACTAATACATACGGGCCCTTCCCAGACATTGTCCACATCATCCCCTTTAAGCACTCAATGACCTCATGAATTTCTCTTCTGTCTATAAAATCCTTTAAACAGAAAAAATCCCTAAACATATTGAGTTCTGTTTAATAGATATTCACCACTTCCTAAATTCAAGGCACTGAATTTTACTATAGGTGATATAAAGATATATAAGGTCCAGTCTTTGCCCTCAAGAAGCTTCTAGTCTACAGAATGAGATAATACAAATATGCAAATAGTGTATCTTATGGGAGAAAGTGCGTTGTGCTCCAAGTAAGGCACAGATATTGTTAGAGTTGAGAGGAAGGTGTGGAGTCTCCATTAAATTAAAGAGTATTAAAGTCCTGACTTAAAGTACTTGACTTGGATTTACACCAGCAACTTACTCTCCAATTATTTATGCTTTCATGTGCTATTAATTGAGGGGAATATGTGGGAGCAGGGACTTAAATATACTTCCTGGTGGCAAACACTGGCCCTACAGTGTGTGTCACACACACACACACACATATAATGTTTCCTATTAAAGCTGAGACTTAATTGTGAGGTTTGTAGATCGCCATGTGAAGAAATCTTAGATTGTTAGGGTCTTAAACGGCCTGGACGCTTGTGTGAGGGCACCAGGAATTAGACTCTGAAGTCTTGACCTGGCTCTTCCTATTCTTACCTTATTTTCTGAGTTCTTGGCCTCATTCTTCCAGGAATACACCAAGCTCACTCCTACCTCAGGCCCTTTGCCCTGGCTGCTTTCTCTGTGTGCTAAGTTCGACCCTAGATCTACACAAGGCTCACTCCTTGCCTCAGGTCTGTGTGGAAACACGGCTCAGACAGTCCTTGCTCACTCTATCTGAAATAGCCTTCCCCTTCCCCAACACACTTCACTGTCTATCCTCTGGCCCTGCCCAATTATTTTATGGCACACCACATTAGCATATATTTATTTACTTACGTAGTTAGTATCAATCATTATGTGACACTACACTATGTTTTATTTAAGTGTTTGTTATCTGTCTTTCCCTCTAGAATGCAACCTCAAAGTAAAAAAATTAGTTTTGTTCACCTCTATATTTCCAATGCCTGCCACACAGTTAGCACTAAATAGTGAGGAGTTAGGAGAACAGATGTGCAGTATTCACAGCAAGGGGATTTCAAACACGTGGGCCAATCCTGCCTTGAAATCCAGATATTCTGAGATCTTGGAGGGGAATCCACTTTTGAACGTCTTCCATTCAACCTACAAGAAGTCGATGACTTACAACTAAGACAACAACCACTTCCTCCAGGAAGCTTCACAAAAGGTTCCTGTGGAGGCCTCAGTAAACCCAGGGAGTAACATCTCCCATGGCCTGAAGGTGGAGTAGGGTAAATAGAGTCAGCTCAGCTGAAATAAGGAGGGCAGGGCCATAGATAGTTCAGATGTCACCAGCTACTTACAGTTCTTAGTTTTCAGACCTCTAGAATTTTACAGCTTTTGCCATTCTAAACAATAGCCAAGAAACATTTTTTTATAAAAGAAACAACAATAAAACCAAAACAAATAAAATTAAAAATAAATATAAAATATTAAAAACAATATTATTTAGAAAAACAATAATGCTGCTCATCCGCAATAAAAAGGAACAGGCTTTGGTCACGCACTGCATAACGATGTTTTGGTTAACAACAGACCACATATATGACAGTGGTTCCATAGGACAGTGGTTCCATATAGCCAAGGTGTATAGTAGGCTATACCATCTAGGTTTGTAAGGACACTCTATGATGTTTGCACAACCATGAAATCGCCTAACGATGCATTTCTCAGAACACGTTCCCATCGTAAAGTGAGGCAGGACTGTATTAATATACTTGAATGGATCTGAAGGGCATTATGCTGAGTAAATAAAGCCAATCATAAAGTGACACCTACTGTATGATTCCATTTCTATACCTTCCTGAAACGAAAAAATTATGGAGATACAGATCAGATTAGTGGCTGCCCCAGGTGAGGGGTGTTTGTATATGTATATGGGGTGTGACTAGTGCAGGGAGATCTTTGTGGTAATGAGAGTTCTGTATCTGGATTTTGTTGGTGGTTACACAAATCTACACATATGATAAAATGAGACACACACTTTACCAATTTCAATTTCCTGGTTTTGATAGTGTATTATAATTATATAATTATGTAATATGTAAGCATTGGGGAAAATTGGGTGAAGGGTACATGGGATCTCCCTACTATTTTGTAATTTCCTATGTATAAAAAGTTCAGAAGACAACATTGTTAATATAGTATGACATTAAAAATATTTATATAGCACATTACATTGAAAGTCATATTCAGTCTCTCAAAGTTCACTGTAAAAAGTTTATAATAGCAAACTATATTTCCTTCAAACACTACCAGCTAGTTTCCTGATTTATTCTTCTGCCTTCTCAGGCTAACATCTCTGGGAGGTTTCTACAAAAGGCAACAATTTTGACAACTTTTTAAGCTCAATGTAAAAGGGCCTCTGGTTGCATTAACATTTTAATTAAGGTGAGTAGAGAACTGTAACAAGAGGAGAGGCTTAGTTCTGCCGATTAAACCTACTCTTGTAGAGGTATTCATGGCAGATCAAAAATGGAATTCTTTCCAACCTCCATTAATTTAGAATGGAATTAGGATTGAAAGAAAGGATATTCAACTAAGATTTTAATTTTTTGCCTTGAATTTAAAAGTCAGAGTCTAGCAGCTCTGGAGCTCCAGAATCCCAACAAGTTTGCATAAAGCAAGGCAGGCCTACAAGATGTATAGATTTTGTGCCCTGCTTACAGGGATATGCATGTGAGTGTTTATGCAGGCAGGCACTAGAGCAGAAGAGCAGCGTGATTGTGTGGTCAATCACAGTGTTGAATCAACTGTGATTCAACACACAAATAGTAAGGTCCAGATGCATTCAAAGGTACTGACTGAACGTTGCCTGGATACAGAGTCTGATGAGAGGATTGCTAACTTCAAGGGAGAAAACAAAGTACAAGAAACTACTACAATACAAGGGAGAAAAAAATAATTAATGCTAAAACAGAGTTTTAAGGTTTCCTCAGAACACGGAAAGTCAAGATTAATTTCACATGGAGAGACTGAGGAAGGCTTGATGTAGAAAGTAGCACTGACTAGGCTCTACATTGGGTGGGCAGGATTTCAAGAGGCCGACTGTGGGCCGGGAGAGTGGGCAAGAGTATTCTGGGGGACGGCATGGGAAAGACTCAGAGGCAGGCCAGTCCAGTAGGTTGGAGCAACTCCACTTTTGATAGAGCAGATGGCTTGTGAGAGGAAAGAATAAAAGTTGGTGGTTTGGGTCAGGTTGTACAGGCCTGCCGATGCTGTCATGAACCATCTACTACTCTAACAGCAGTTATGAAAACCCACGGTGAGGTAGCCAAAGAAGTCTGTGACTTATCAAGAGTCCTCCTATGCTTTGATGTGGCTCTCGTTACTAAAACTACACACCTTAAAGCAAGTTGCATAGATTTGTCCTCTACACAGATTTAAAGGAATGATTTTAATAGTTAATAGCTACCAATCATTAATAAAGTCCTCAAGACCAAGCAGTTTCATGTTAGGGCAGTCATGATTCCAATTGTTCCGTATCTTGCTTGTAACATCTCAGTTTCAACAGAAACTCACAGTCTCCTGACTGTTTATCTTGCTTTGATTCTTTGAATCCCACTTTCCCTGAACATTAAGAGGATTCTACTCATCATCGATGCTAACACTGCTCACCTTGAATAAACACTTTTCTTATTCAGTCTGGCCTCCAAGACCCAACAACCTGGCTCCATTACCAATAGTGTAGACAGTGAAAAGATATCATTTAGAAACAGACATTTCTGGTGGGACACTAAACAACTTGCCTACCATACCTGTCCCCCCTCAACATCTCCCCATATACATCTCATCATGTAATGTCAAGGTCTCAAGTAAGTAAACAATAATTCTTTTATACCAACAGGCTGGGAAGGTGTAGTATACCTATTGCAAGTAACACGTGCAAACTCCATCACAAGGACGAGGTATCAGTGTCTGGGTAAGAATAAGATGGAAGAAAGTGGTGCAGAGAAAAGAGCTTTGGCGTGGGACAAATCTGGGTTGCAATCCTGAATCTGCTACTCCCTTGCATCATGACATGGAATATTATCTTTCTGACTGTCCTTTTCCTCATTACTAACATAGAGATGGTGACACCTACCTCCCAAAGTTGTGAGAGTTAAATGAGGTAATGTATATGAAAGTCCTAGTTCAGTGCCTGGCTCTAGCGTCTCTTGATCAATCACAGTTTTACATTCATTGATGAATATAATATTAGTGCTAGAATAGGGTCAAAAATATATTGAAAGAAAACTTTGTCTTTTATTTATTGTCTGTTAGGAAATGTTCAAGTAATTCTTTAATACTGATTTTTCAACAAAACATTATTCAGAAAATAAACTCACTTTTCAGTTGAACAATGATGGGAAACTAAGAACTACAATTCTCCTTCATTTCCAGTTGCTTATCACAGTCCGGTAGCCAGTGTAGAAACATCAGAGGCAAATATATCAACAGGGGTGTTAAATTTGGGCACATCCTAAAATTCAAATACTTTGTGATCCAGCCTTTCTAAGGAGGAATCTGGCTTAGCTTCTAATTTTCATTCCAAGTTGCCTAGTTGTGTCTTTGGGCACTTACTTCACAATTCTATTTCATTTATAAAACAAGAATATTCAAATATTCTCTACATTCCCTACAAAACAGATGAGGCAGTGCCTCTGCTTACAGCTGTGCTTTGCACAACTCCAGGGGGAACCATTCACCTCCCGGTCTTTATAGATTTGCATGTTGTTATGACAGTTTTCCAGAAGATGGCTGTAAGCATGAGCACATGGAAGAAATGCTAGTATATGTGCTAGCGATGGAGCTGCTATACCTGTTTGAGCAAACACAGGGAGAGCGTCAGTGAAGAGCTAACATCTCGATGTTGGTCTTGGTGCCAAGAAAAGTTCTAGACTGCTGTGGCCTCTATAATGAGTCTGGGAACCTCAACGGCTGTCCTGGTTCCAACGCTAATCCTCTGGGTCAGCTTGGCTAAGTTTACATCTTGTAGTCTCAGTTCCCTCAAGTGTGAATTAAGGGATTGGAGGGCATATAATTTTTTGAGATACTTCTCTAGTAGAACTGAAAGACTCCATGGACTCTTTTCTACCTCCAGGAAATCTTTGAGAAATGGATACACAGTATTTCTTGAAGATTGTAAAAAACAAAAAAGTCTACCGAGAGAGAGAAAGGGTGTCATGAAATACACCAAAATATTAATAGCAGTGATCTTGGAATGGTTTGGGATTATGGATGAATTTCTTAAAATTCTTTTTACTTCCTTTAATTAGCATTAATTATTTTTATAACTACTTTTATAATGGAAAGTCATAAACTTAAAAATCTGTTGACAGAATACTAAAAAAACAAAACCCAGAGAGATATCAAATTGTCCAAAATAATTAAAAGTTTAATCCACAAATGATTTCTGGTTTAGTCCAGTGTCGCAAGGATTCAGTGAATCTATTTCTTAAAGACTCAGCGTGTCATGTTTCCTCTTCAAAATACAGTCCTACTCCAAGCGTTTCATAAGCTTTATGCTGTGGAAACATTTACATTTTAAAATTCAAAAAGATGTTGCTTTGTGACATCTGATATGCTACACATTAATCTAAGTCTTGATAAGTGAATGCAAATTTGATTTCCTTCCAAACCTCACATTTTGAAATGTATATTATTTCTCCTTTGGAATACAGGATCATTTAGAATATAAATGACTATATTGAAAGGAAGCTTACCTGGTTGAAACATATTTTCAGCTTTTTGTTTGTCTGTTCTGGGCACTGCTCCAGCTGTTTTCACAAATGATAATAGAACAGGATATTAACTTTTAGAGACTGAACTGTCTACAACAGAGTTATAACATGCAAGTATCTAGTATTAAAAAAGTATCAAAGCCTAGAACTGGCCAACATTGGTACTGTGGGTCTTTTAAGCCCGGGTCTAATTAAATTAATTACCTAAAGTACATCTCACCTCATTCCAAAAAAGGATTAAGGCAGCTTACATAACTAATACAACATGGTCAAAAAAATTTGAAGATGAAAAAAAAATCAAGGTGAAGGAAAAGTAAAGGATAAATAATAAATATTCAAAAGGATGTCTGGGGCTGGCCCAGTGGTGTAGCAGTTAAGTTTGTGTGCTCTGCTGCAGCAGCTCGGGGTTCATGGGTTGGATCCCGGGTGCAGACCGACGCACCGTTTGTCAAGCCATGCTGTGGAGGCATCCCATATGAGGTAGAGGAGAATGGGCATGATGTTAGCTCAGGGTTAATCATCTTCAAAAAAAAAAAAAGATGTCAAGAAGGTAGCTGGAGTCTGGTTTCTTGGATGGGAACACCAGAGAAATAGACTGGGGAGTCAGTGGCATATGGGATAGTATTGAAATCAGGGACGAGTTGAAGTCACCTGGAAACAGCATTTAATAAAGAGAAGAAAGTGGTCCAGGAGCGAGCCCTCTGACACGCCAACCTTTAGAAACCAAACAGAGAAGTAGTGCCAGCAAAGATGGGAGGGAGGCGAGCAAGAAAATGAGAAGGGGGTTGTGGAAGCTGCTCAGAGAAAGTCTGCAAAGAGGAGCAAGTGCTTGGCTGAGCTGAAGACCTCTGAGAGGTCAGGTTTATAAGTGACCACTGCATTTGTCGGCATGGCGGTCACTGGTGGCCTGGCAAGGCAGTCCCAGTGAAGGAGTGGAGTCAGAAGCCCGATGGGAGAGGATGGGGCGAGAGTTGAAGGTGAAGAAGCAGAAACAATGACTGTAGGTTAGAAAACTAAGGATTTCACCCAGGATCAGAATAAGGCATATGGCGCTTCTGTCAAATTAATCATTTGGTGCTCTTTTCGCTGATAGCCTTTCCATGTGGATCCATCCTTTCCACAACCAACGCTGAGCATGAGGGTAAGAAGTAGCCCTCCCACCCTCATGCCCTATGCAGGCTCTTCTCCTCCACCCCCGTGAGCAGCTCTGGTGGCCTGAGTCCTTACCTCCTCCGCCCCTGTGAGTAGCTCAGTGGCCTCAGGCCTGGACACTTCTCTCAGCTTCACCACAGACTGCGGTGACTTAGCAGCTTGGGGACTAACCACTGTGAGCCAGTGTGAGGCTCACCCTGCGAGCCCCAGGTTCACATCAGAGTTTTCCTTCCAATCATATATGGTACTGCCCTGTGAGATTTGGTAAATATAACTTTCTTCCTCTTTCCCGGTGAAGTTTTAGTGATTCTAGTAAGACTAGTGCTTTGGGCACCTAACATGGCTGACCCACCCAGTCTTCACCTCAGCTCCTCATAAAAGCACGTGTTGGCTGAGGAAGTGTATCTAAGAGATAGAAACCCTATTTTCGGTGAGGGGGAGGGAAGTCAGGGACTATGTCCTGTTTCTTTTGATCTCTGCAAGCAACTGTTCTCAGGCTGTAAGGTTTTCCCAAAGCTTCTTTAGCCCCTGGCCACATTGGTTTTAAAGGCAGCTTTAATTCTGAGCCATCCACTTGTATCAAGATCCCCATGTTCATTCACTTAAGCCATTCTAGGTCCTCTTACTGGTAACACTTTACATTTTTCTTCACTGAAGATGAAATTCAGGCCATTCTGTCATTCCCTCAGAGTTCCAAAACAGCCAGCTTACCTCAGAACTTGCTAGAAGTTCCTCCACGGATGTGTAGCTGAATTCTGATGGTAGCTGATACTCAGGAATAAAGTACAGAAGAATCTCCCTAGGAATAGAAGCACAGCAGAGATGGGAGAGTAGCAGGAAAAGAGGCACAGCACTCACCTGTCAGAACTGGCTCCCTCTCCTGGGTGTCAAGCATCTTGGCAAAGATGAGCATTTACGCCTGTCAGATAGTTTGTTTTTAACATCGGCATCAAAGTGTTCTTCAAAAAGCCGAGGCTGGGGAGAGGGTGTGGGCATGGTAGAAAGGGCAAGAGGAGCAATCCGCACAGTGATGGAACTGTTCTGTGTCTTGACTGCATCAACGCCAATATCCTAATTGTGATACTGTTCATGGTTTTGCAAGATGTTACCATTGGGGGAAACTAGGTAAAGGGGACAGGGGAGGGGATCTCTCTGTATTATTTCTTACAACTGCAGGTGAATCTACACTTATCTTAATACAAAGAGTGTATTTAGAAATTCAAGCAAGCATGGGCTCACAATGCCCATCCACATCCAAGCAGTCCGGGAGAGCCCTGGCACCTACTGAGTGTTCTCCTCGGCAGAGAACCCAGCATTGCAAAATTACTGGAGGAAAAGAGGCTAACTATGGCTTACTGACTTTTTTCCTAAGAAAACCAAAGAACTTAACTCTCCAGAGTAATTCCTCTCATCAAGGCCTCTGGGACTACTCGTAGAAACCATACATGGGCCCTGCTCCTTCCAAACAGTGATGGCCACTATTCTAACAGGTGCTTCTTTTTGCCAAAAGGCAGTAGCACCTCACTCTTCCAGTGTGATGGCTTCTCTAGGATCAATTACCTAGAAGACACATATTACATTTCTGGGAGAATATGAAATCTAGAAATTTATAGCTATACATCTTAAAAGTGTACAGAGTGTTTTTATGCTGAAATGCTCCAAGAAGCTCATGGATATTATCCAAGGGATTTAAAAAACTTTTCAATTGTAAAATAACACGCACACAAAAGACAAAACAGCTGTTTGTTATATAATTTGCATTCCTAGTATTTTAAGTATATTATTTGTGTTAATATTCATTTACAGTTTTAAGGAGATTCAATTCGAAAAGTTGCACAACATCAAACATAACACACCCACACACACACACACACATGCACTCCTCCGAATGATGTGCCTGGCTAGTAAGAAGATGAGTGGGGTGCGGCAGGGTGAAAAGGGGCTTCCAGGTATTTGAGATGAGCAGAAATAAAATGGCATAGCTGATTTCAGCTGCAACTAGAGTCCCTGCGAAAGGGGCCTGTGGTCAACTTCGTGGTGGGTTTGGGGGGGCAGAAGAGGTGGGAGGTCTTTTATACAAACCACCCCTCTCTCTCCCTGCATCCAGTTTCTCTTCCTCCAACACAGGGTTGAAACCTCTTCTGAGCACTGGTCCTTTTCTTGGTGGGTATAAATTCTGTTGGGTTTAGATTGAGAGCAAATCAGCAATCTTCTAAGGAGGTACTTTCAGAAAAACAAATAGTAGGTAGTAGCATTTGTGGGGAGTAGGAGAGGGTGAAGCGGCAGGTTGGGGAGCGGAAAGGTTCTGGATTAGTCCTGGATTATTCTCAATCTATGGCATCTCTACACCAAACTTACACCAAACATCATCTATAGTCTGAATAATGTTTCACACATATGTCCTATTATTTCTAAAGATAGACAGATGGATGCTATTTTAAAATAAAGCACAACTTTATATAAAGGTTTTACTGGAATCACGGTAGCTTTTGCCACGTTGTACTTTCTGTTATGAGAGGTTCGGGGATTCGATCGGAGATGTAAAAGACATTTTCCACTCCAAACAAATGGACTGAAGGTATATTTTATTATATAGAGGATAGTAAAGGCGATAGTCCGCAAACAGATCCGAATAGGTCAAATAATAAGAGGGAAAAAACACCAGCTCGACTGGAAAGGGAAAACATCCACATCGGCTGAGATAGCAGCAGATCCGAATAGGTCATATAATAAGAGGGAAAAACATCAGATCGATCGGAAAGGGAAACGCCAGATCGACTGAAGGGAAATGACACAAATCAACCGGAAAGAGAAACACCAGGTTGACCGAAAAGAGAACACATCAAATCAGTTACTTCACAGTAAATCAATTACTCACATCAAATCAGTTACTCACAATATCCACGCCCCACTGCCGGGAGAGCCCTGTCAATCGACGCAGCTGGGCAAGGATCACATGTCCTGGGCAAGGTGTCCCTTCCACAGGTGGAACTCTCACTAGGGCTCAGTTTCCAGCAGTTTTTATACCATCAGTAATTTTCAGAGTAAGCAATTACAGAGTTTGCAGAGCAAGCATTTAGTGTTTCCATGCACAAAATGGTTATCAGTGGCGCACGTGCACTGAGCCCCCTGGCTAACGTTCCAGCCCAGTAGTTGTGTACGTGCATTGTTCTCCTTGGTTATCGTCTCAGCCCGGCACAGATGGCCAGTCCATTCCGGGCTACGACACTCCAAGAGCCTTGAAATGTTACAACTTGCAACTCTCTCCGTGGGAGAAAGGCCAGTTCCCGGGAAAAGGCTGGTTCCCACCACACAGAAAGCAGCTTTGTATTTCTTTTTCGTGCTGGTGGCTGTAGGTCAATGGAGCGGCCAAACATGGCTGTACTCATGTCAAGACACTTTCTCAATATACTCAAGCTCATTAATTCCACAGATATTCCCTGAACCTCTACTAAAGCATAGCTTTCACCCAGTGGCACCTTACAGAGCCTGGCGTCGTGCTCCCATGCTAGGAACCTAATGTGTTCTTATTACACTGAATTCAGCCTAGTGGGGAATACAGACAAGGAAGCAAGCTGTTCCAACAGTGTGATGAATGCTAGGATGCGAACGAGAATGCAGCCCATGGGTACCAAGAGGAGGGGCCCTAACCCCTATTTGGAGAGCCCCAAAGAAGAGCAGGGGTTTCAGCTGTGGGGGGCAGGGGTGGGGACATGTGAAGAAGTATTCCAGGCCAACTGCACTATATGTGTTGAGGAACTAACTATTTTTCTGATGGTCTTGGGACCCCTGGTCAGATTCAACCACTCTTTTTAAACTGCTAGAAATGTTCTAAGCGCTGCTACATGCTTTATATACATAAATCTTTATGTATATCTTTGTGGAAACTCTTTGATTAAGGAGTTGTTCCTATTTTGAACGTCTCTGGTCTCCTGATCATGAAGGACCCGCATCCCCGCCCCGACCATCAGCCCCGAGCAGGCTTCCTGTACTCGCGTCTCTCTCTGTCCAGGACCCTGGTAGTCAGCCGTTTACTCTCTCCTCCATAGAGCTGCTGCTAAATCGCTTTCCCTTGGGGATTCTGTCCCATGAGACTGACTAGAGAGGAAGACAAATTACCTGGCTCCTGCAGTCTGCAAGCACAAACACACAGACTGTTTGCTCTTCCCAAAAAACTAATTCAGGAAAACTGTGAGACACTGTTAAAAAACCTAAGACACCAAAAATCACAAATGTAGGATCTGAACGCAGATGTATAAGAATTCAAAAAATTCCTTCATTTATGGTCTTGAGTCCCTGTCTTCAATGGTTTTCTTCAGTGATACCGTTTTTGGTTCCTGAAGGTTTATCTTATCAAGCTCTCCCTGCCCTTAGACTTCGGGTTTCCTTTAGGATGGACATGGTGATCCTCTAGTCCATGGAGGTGAGCCAGGAGGCGCCCAGAGCGAAGCCAGAGGACTAAGCCAGTGTCCGTTCACTGGTGTGCATTGAATCAAGTGGATACTGTGCATTTGGGGGACTCATGAACCAAGTGCTGTCAGTTCAATGCGACTCTTGTCCACCAGGAATCCTCCTTCCCTTGGAGCATTTACTCCCAATTCTACCCCCAGACTTGATAATAAAATCAGGAATTTGTCTTTGTTTAACACTGTCTCTCTTCTCAAGAATTCAAGAAATAATCCTACAGATTTTCCAGAGCTATTACTTGCCTCCAGGACCATAGCAGGTCTCGCCATATGGCCATAATGTCCATCTCAGTCGAATTCATATCCGCAAGTTTGAATTGAAAGTTTCTATAGAGTTCAACCAGGTGAGCTACAACACTCAATCAGCACTGTTTCCATATACGATAGCCAAGCTTTGAAACGTTCCTTTTCACTCCATAGTAATATTCCTTTCTCAACAGAGTAATTTTTCCTTAAGAAAAATCTCCGGGGGCCGGCCCGGTGGCACAAGCGGTTGGGTGCGTGCGCTCCGCTGCGGCGGCCCGGGGTTCGCTGGTTCGGATCCCGGGCGCGCACCGACGCACTGC